CATTTGATCGCTCATCTCTCTCTCTCTATATATATATGTGTGTGTGTGTGTGTGTGTGAATAAGAGAGTTTGTATGATAACCGTAAATAATTTGAGAACAATGAAACTGATTTATAGTGTTTATTAATTGAAAAATATACAACATATAAATTATGTCAAAATATGTAGATATATTATCAATGAATTAATATTATCTACTTATTGATGTATTCACTTATATTTGTATTTTGTCAATCACTATATTCAACAATGAATATACATTCAAAAATTAGTTTATGATTCTTAAAAAAAAATTTAGAAACTGCAGATTTATTAAGAAACCACCGAGGCTAGCAAGATGCTAGCACTTACAACAAAGCCGCTAAAGGGCTGATACACCAAGCATTCCAATCAAGAATATTACAAGACTTCGATCTAAGTCTAATCAAATTATACGAAAAGAGCACGATCTCTTTGGAATTCACCACCGGTTTTTTTATGGGTTTGTTGAGGACAAGCGCATTTCGATTCGTCCATATCACCCAAATGAACGCCATGAGAATTACTTCCAACACCTCCTTAACCCTCTTCCCTTTGAAAGGAAATTGTGCTGCAAAAAAAAAATTCCGCCAAATTGGTAGCTTGGCAAGGAAAACCCGACCACCAATTCTTTACATAAGCACCGATCACCTTTGTAGACGAACATCCAAACAAGAGATGAACTTCCGTTTTCGGCTGACTTAGACAACAAGGACAAAGAACCGAACTCACCCGGACACCTCTTAAGGAAAGATTATATCTAGTGGGGAGTCTAGATTTTGAAAGACGCCAGATAAGCATATTCACTTTACTGGGCACTAATTTGTTCCACTTCGGTATCCTTCCATCGGATTGTAAAACACCTTCCTCTATCTTACCCCGACACGTCTTGACCGAGAATACCCCGTCCTCGGATAGAATCCATCTTCGAACGCCATTGGTATCAACCGACCAGAAGTTGTTAACATTCTGCCCAACTTTACGGATGAGAATATCCCATTTAGCAATAGCTCCCCATACACCCGGCTTCTTACAACCGTCACTAAAAATACCCCCTCTATCACCATGAAACACCTTAATACTATCTCTCCAAAGACTGCCCTCTTCGTTTAGAAACCTCAACCACCACTTAGCAAAAAGACTCTAATTAAGCGCCTTCAAACTACCGATGCCAATACCACCTTTATCCATTTTGTTACAAGTAACTTTCCACTTAACCCAGATAATTTTCTTACTCTATCCAGTCCGGGCCCAAATGAATTGGTTCCTAAGACTTTCAAGGGTGTTAAGCACATCTTTCGGGACTTTAGACAGAGAGAAAAGATAAACTCCCAAACTACCAAGAACCGATTTACACAGTATCTTCCTACCACCAAACGATAAAGATTTGGCCTTCCAAGCGGAGAGTTTCTCTTGGAATTTATCTACTAACTTATTCCAACTACTTCTCCTTCCCATCTGCGCACCTACCGGAAGACCCAAGTATTGGAACGGAATAGAAGAAAGCTTACAATTCATTCTTTGAGCGAGCAACTCAGCTTCACCGGTGCCCGACCCAATGCTGTACAAACAACTTTTCTGCAAGTTGATTTTCAACCCCGATGAAAGATAAAAAACATATGAGGAAACGGAACAAATTTAGACCATTCGTTAACGACCAGTCACCCATAAATAGAGCATCGTCAGCATATTGGAGAATCTCTATTCTAGGGTCACCTTTGGGAAGAGATAACCCGTTAAAAACCCCTTTAATACGAGCTTCATACATAACCACCCTATGAGCCTCCATAGCTATAATAAAAAGAAAAAGGGGCAAGAGGGTCACCTTGCCACACACCTTTTTCCATGATAAACTCCTCAGTTGGGCTTCCATTTACAAGAACAGAGACACTTGCATTAGAGATAATTCCTCGAGTCCACTTTCTCCAGGTATTACTGAATCCCATTTGACACATAACCTCGTCTAAAAAGTCCCAATTCAAGTTATCAAAAGCCTTCTCAAAATCAGCTTTAAAAATTCACACTTTACTTCAAGTTTTTATTTGAATCACTCTCTCTCTTCTTTATTTAATAAATAACAATTTACATATTTTTTTCTCATTAAATGTTAATTTTATTATTATTATTTATAATATAAATAGTAATTTTTTTAAAGAAAAGACGTTTTAGTCAATGTTCATTATTTCTTTACATTCTTTGAACCATACATATATATTATTCATATCACGGATTATATTATATTTCCTATTATTATTCATATCACGGATTATATTATATTTCGTATTAAAAATACTTATTATATCTGGTAATATTTTATTAATTTTAATTATATTTTATTTTTTTAAAAGGTATTATTCCAACCAAACGACTCTTGCAGTTTCATTTTTAATTAAAATCATCACAATTTAGGAAGGTTTTTTAGAATTTTATTTGATTAATGAGTATTTAATGATGAAATCGTTTATTAAATTACATGTTAAATCAAATGGTAAAACATAAGTAATAATCATAAACCCTAGGTTGATTTATGGACGGCTATGATGAGGTGTGTCGTACCAGTCCAACTAATTCCAGTGGTGGAGTTGATCTAATCCTACAATACAAATACAAATACAAATACAAATACAAATACAAGAGCAAATTAGATTCATGGTCCTTGTAGTTTATTGGTTTTTTCCACTATGGTCCTTCAAATGCGTTTATTACACTATCTGTCCCTATGATATGCAAAAACGCACATTATAAGTCCCTCCCTCTAACAAAATCTGTTAACCCAGTTAACTCAAGGACCATTTTCATCTTTTACCTTTCTTTTTTGTCTTTTACTATTTTGTTTTATTAAACTATAGTAATATATATATATATATATATGTGTGTGTGTGTGTGTGTGTGTGTAAAATACACAAAATCGTCACTCCTTTCCTTTAATATCACCATCAGGCATTAGCCACCACCTCCGGCCATCTCTCTTTACTTTCGCTCTCTCCATCTTTGTTCTCTTACACGCATACAACCTACAGTCATCTTCTCACCCCTATCGTGAAACCCATCTCTAACCTCCTCATTTTATCAACCTCTATTTTAGGTGGGCTCACAGCAAAGCAATGTGAAACACCACCCACCTTCATCCCCCGGTTAACCCCATTGCCACCACCAAGTCCACCTCCATCTTCGTTCTCGAACACAAACAAAACCATAGTTATCTCCTTCCTCCCCTCCCAACCTGACATCTTGTTCATCTATCCCTGAACCCACCTCCCTACCTCGTCCCAACATGAAGCATCTTCAATCCATCTCAAAATGAGATACAAACAGAAGGGAAAAAAGTTACAGGTGGGGGATGGGTCTCAATTAGGAGTGGCTAGACTGTGGGTATTGGACGTCGATGGAAAGGTAAAGAAGGTGGTTGTTTGTGTTGGGTTTTACCGGATATGCAAGAGATGCTGGAGTTGGGTTGTATTTCACGAAGACGATGATATATATATATATATATATATGTGTGTGTGTGTGTGTGTGTGTGTGTATGTATATAAAATGACATAACCATTTGTTAACCAAGTAAATAGTATTAATTTTGTTAACTAATCTAAGCCTTTCATTATTTTTATCAACGGTTGTGATCAATGAGAGATTATAATCCAATAAAGAAGGAAACAAATTAAATGATATTTAATGAAGAGCATTTTTGGAATAAATTGCTTTTATTTTTGGAAGATAATCATATTATTATTTTTGAAAGATAATATTATTTAATGATTTTTAATTTTTGGAAGATATTCATATTTATTTTTGGAAAATAATCAATAATAATATTTAAATGATATTTGTTTAAAGATAAAATCAGAAAATGAAACACCGATTTTTGTATAAAGTTCATAGGTCAATTAGATAATTAAAGGTGAACAAAAAAGTGAAACAATTATTTCTATCTAATTCATAGATGAATCCAAATAATCAAAGTTCATAAGTTAAATTAGATAGTGAAACAATGATTTTTATTTAAAGTTTATTGGTGAACTAGAGAGTAAATAATATAATTAAAAATATTTGAACAGTTCATAAGTGAAATCAAAAATTCATGGGTGAAACAATTAAGTGAATGAGATAATTAAGGAATGTAATAATTAAGTGAATAAGATAATTAAGGACTATAATACGTAATAATTAAGTAAATGAAATATTTAAGAATGTGATATCAATATATAAAAAAGATAAAATCAGTTAACAAAGTTAATACTAATTATGTGGTTAACAAAAAAAGAGGACCCTATATATTTATAGAGGTTGATTATTATACAACCCTTGATATTTGTACAACCAATACAACTCAATCTCAACCGTCCATTTCATTTGATGAATATGTGATTTCATAGAAGTTTTGATTATTTTCTAATATAAAGTATTAATCATAATTAATAAACTCTATTTATATTCTATAAATATTCAAATCATAATAAATGAACTCCATCATTTCTATAAATATCTCAATTAATTGGGTTGCAAATGTTGTACAAATAGATAAGGTTATAAAAGAAATATACCCTATATTTATATATGTGTGTATAATCTAATAAAAGAATAAAAGTATGTAATATATGTTAGAATTAATTATAGTTTTGGTCCCTATTATAAAAGACAAAAAAGAGAGAATAAAAGACGAAAATACCCTCAAATTTAACTGGATTAATGGAATCTTTTTTTAGAGGAAGGGACTTGGAGCGTGCGTTTTTGCATACCATAGGTACCGGGAGTGTAATAAACACATATTAGGGACCTTAGTCAAATAAATCACAAACTGCAGGGACCTGGAATGTAACTTACTCTAAATATAGATATAGATATAAATCTAAATACAAATACAAATACAAATACAAATACAAATATAAATATAAATGCAACCCTCTCGCTCTCCACCAGCTCATATTCATTCTTTGCTTCTTCCTTTTCTTTTATATATCACGAGATCCCCATCTACTTCCTCTTTTCTCCTTCTCTCTAAATTCATGTACTGTTACCGACTTTTCTCCTTCTATGTCCTTCCATTAAAGTTTCCATTTTTATAGCTTTTTTCATACATAGTACTTGCCTATCTTGTTTCATACCAACTTCTATCAACCCTTTTTGTTTCCAACGAATTTCTTCAAATTTAGTAATGGAGCATGCCGGGAAGCTGTTTGATGAAATGGGTCTTCAATCTCTTCCCAATGTACTTGAAAACTCATGTTCTCTTGAACAAAACAAGCCTGATTTTAAAGAACTCGATCTGGGTTCAGCGTTAGCTGGGGCCACCACTTCAATCTCCGGCAGCGGCGGTGGTGGTCTAATGCGTACACCTGACAAAGACCCAATTCGTAGAAGATCCAATAGATCCCATTCTGGAGAGTTAAATGCTACTACCAGCCCTGCCATTACCACGCCGGAAAAGCTTCGATCTGGCACCGGTGATATGAATCGGAAGATAGGTCATCGGAGATCGGTTTCCACTGGAGCTCCGTTAATATATTCCGGTAGTGGAACAACTTACTTTAACGGTAGTACCACCACTACTAGCACCAGCAGTACCACCACTACCACCAACAGCGGCGGCAGCGGCGGTGGTGGCGTTGGTGGCAATGTAAGTTCAGTAAATTCTCCCAATACAAACTTATACCCAAGTGGCAACATCTGTCCATCAGGGAAAATCCTTAAATCCAATATGAATGCTCGTAGTTCCGCAACCCGAACCGAGAAATTGGGGATGGGTACTGGGAATTACGGCCATGGAAGCATAATTAAAGGTGGGGGAAGATTCGTCGAATCAAATGGAGAAATTGGTATCGTTGTGAAGAAGGCAATGATGAGTCACGATGTGGAAGAAGTGAAGAACGCCGGCAATGAGTTGTATAAAAGAGGGAATTTCACCGAAGCCTTGTCGTTGTATGATCGTGCGATTACAATCTCACCGGAAAATGCAGCTTGCCGGAGTAACAGAGCCGCCGCATTGACTATGTTGGGGCGGTTGGGCGAGGCCGTGAGGGAATGTGAGGAGGCTGTGCGATTGAACCCTGGTTATGAAAGAGCTCATCAAAGATTAGCATCTCTTTATCTCAGGTAACTTCACAAACCCATGATCCAATCAATCTTCAAGATTTCAGCTATGAATTCAATTCTCCATAGAAGTTCCAATTTGATTTGCTTTTACTTAATTATGTATTATGTCTTTGAATCATCTAGATCTTGATTTCCCATAATATGAGCTCAATTTCATGAATGCTATTTGTTTATTTGAATCCATATAACTATTTTTGCTTCAGTGTTAAAGTCCCATTGCTTTCATGAATCAAGTATTTTGGGGCATGAATTGCAGGAAAGATTCTTGATCCAATGTTGAGTTCCATCGATTTCATTCTAGAAGCAGTAGAATCTTCCAATTTACATAACATCTATTTGAAAGGTTTTTCCAATTCCTTACAAGTGTTGACATTGTCGGAAGAGGGCGATTACAAAGATTTTACTCTTGAGTTTGTAAAAAAGATTCGAACTTCCTTACTCATTTAATGAAAAAACTATGTATAAGAGACCAATCTAGAAACCTTATAAAGCATGGTATTTATGTTGATTTAATAAACATTTCAATATTTGTTAGTAGAAGCCAAAGCGGATGGTTTTCCTATGGTTGATCATAATGGAAAGTGTGGGCTTTCTGATTCTAATCCATTTATTGCATTCATCAAGTTTAACATCACTCTTTGAGGTAGATACCAGATTTGCATACATCCCCCAACCCCACCTTTAGGTGGGATAAAACTGGGTTTGTTTGGTTTAGTTTTATGAAGTTTAACATCAAAGAAGCAGTTGAGACTGATTTTTAGTCGTCAAATCTACAGATTAGGACAGGTCGAACATGCGTATCACCACCTTTCTCATGGTCAACAGAATGATGCGACTGAGTTGCAAAAATTGCAAACATTGGAAAAACATATCAATAGATGCTCAGATGCCCGAAAGATTGGTGATTGGAAAGGAGCACTTAGGGAATGTGAAGCAGCCATGTTAACTGGAGCTGTGTCGTCTCCTCAAGTACCCATCTGGTTTATTTGTTGTTTCAGTCTTTACTACCTCCATCCCAAAATAAATGTCCACAGTGAAAAAAGCAGTGTTAGAAACGTGTAGCTATTACACGTTTTAGTTAACTAAATGACAGTTTTACCTTAATAATAGAGGGAGTAATGAATTTAAACATCTCATGATTAAGGGTATAATTGAAAAGTAGAACTTGTTTTGGGACAAATTAAAATAAAAAACGTGGACATTTATTTTGGGACAGGAGTTCTATTTACAGTTGAAACTAAGATGAGTGAACTTTAACGGTTTGAATATGCAGATAATTGCTTGCAAGGCAGAGGCGTTTTTGAAGCTCCATCAACTTGAAGATGCAGATTCTATGCTTTCTGAGTTACCGAAACTAGAACCTTTCCCGGCCACATGTTCCAAAGTCAAGTTTGTTGGAATGTTCTCTGAAGTGTACGTGCTTTACGTTCGAGCTCACGTTGACATGGCATTTGGAAGGTTAGCTTTCTAGAATTATCTAGTACCAATATAATTACTATGCCTACTTGTATCTTCCTTGTTTTAGTGGTCAGTTTGGTTTGGTTGTTGGATAATGTGATTCGTTCCATGCTCAAAAAGGTTTTAGAAGGATTTCTTTGTCGGGTTCATGTGCTGAACCTGACCATCTGTGTTTAATTGGGTTAAAAATTAATTGATCATTTATTAGAATTATCTAAATTACTAGAATAATCTAATATTTCTTATAATAAAAAGAAAATCCAAATTTATTTATTATAACAGAAATAATACAAGTTGTTTGTAATGTTGTTTTAGGGGTTTAGAGTTTGAACTCATTTATCCTTATAATAGTTTCTTGCCCAAGTAGGGTTTATAACCGACAACCCTGAGCCGGCCCCCATCCCCTGACCTCAAGAGATTCATGTGAGAGGCAAATCAGGTACAAAGTGGCCTGCTACGTGGCTGGCTCAAGAGCCCAGTGCCCATAAGGAGCTCATCCCTAAATGAATTGTAACTCCAACAATGTGTCTGCATGACTCGAACCCTCGCCAAGTAAACCACCCGGAACCAACTGGCTGTGCCACGGGGGGGCTACCCAAGTAATTCAATTGTAAAACCATCTAAGGCTTTCATAGTTTGCTTTGCTTTGCTTTGGTTTGGTTTGGTTCAAGAATTTGGAACCAAGTAGGGGATATGACAAAGACCGAACCATGTACACTCTTGTTTATTTGCTTTTACACGCTACATCCTACGAAAATTGCAAAGGTTGCCTAGAGATATTGCTTAATTGCAGTTTCTAATTAGAATATCCAAAGTACCCGTAAATAGTGACACATGAGGGGAATCTTATAGATTGGAATTAATAAAATTGATCATTTTATAATGATGCTGATGGGCAAATAGGTAAATTATTTTTAAGGCAAATAGGTAATTTCTTTTTGAAGGAAACTTAGTAACTATTATGGGATGCCTCAAAATGGAAACTACTACAGTTTTTATGGGACAGAGGGAGTATATATATATATATATATATATATATATATATATATAGGTATAATTATATGATGTTTTCACATTTCATGGAAACGGTTGCTCTACTCTTTTGGGTAGATGTCAGCTATGCGAATATCTCATCCCTGACCCTACTTTTGAGTGGGATTTACTTGGTCTGCTTGGTTCAGTTTTGTTTGATTAGAGGGAGTATACATGATGATCTAAAGAGTACAAGGAATTCATGGTGATGGCAGGTTTGAAACGGCAGCTGCATTTGCAGAGAAGGCTAGCTTGATCGATACTGGGAACATGGAAGTCTCTATGTTACTAAAAAATGTGAAGTTGATAAACCGAGCTCGTGCTCATGGCAAAGATCTTTTTAACTCGGGCCGTTTTTCAGAGGCATGTGCTGCGTATGGTGAAGGGCTCAAATACAACTTATCAAACGCAGTCCTGTATTGTAATCGGGCAGTTTGTTGGTCGAAGCTTGGTTTGTGGGAGAAATCCATTGAAGATTGTAATCTCGCCCTTAACATCCAGCCAAATTACATAAAGGCCCTTCTAAGAAGAGCCGTCTCAAATGCAAAGGTGATTAGGGTCATCTAGTTCTTCGTTCTTCTACCATATTTGTTGGATTATGATTATAGGGGCAAGTTCATTTGAGACCCAACTATTTATGAGCTATTCATGATGATATCATGGTAGATATTCATATCATGCATAATGAAAATGCATGATATTCATGAATATTTAGGTATATTCATAATGAATAATTCATGAATAGTTGGTTCTCACGGCTCTCAAAATATTTATGGTTCATAAATGAACTCTATGCTATGATTATATTTCGTAGTTTTCTTGATTTAACTTTAAAAAATTTGGTCTTATTTAGCTTGAACGATGGGGTGAAGCTGTGAGAGACTATGAAATCTTGAAGAAAGAACTTCCTGGAGATAATGAGGTGGCGGAATCACTATTACGTGCTCAAGATGCATTAAGATTGACCCGAGGGGAACCTTCTGGCGTTGATCGTATTAGAGCTTCGACATATTTATGGGGTAACTTCCATAACTATTATATTTTCCGTCCATCCCATAAAAGTTGCAAACTTTTCTTTTTTAGCAACTTCCGAAGTTAGAAGTTCCTAACTGTCTATTGCCATTCGTACTACCTTTTACCGACCCTATCGATTTTGATCTACAAGATTCTCTTGGTTCATCACCATTGGAAGAGGTTATTTAGGAGAATAATCTTCTGGACCTTCTGAAATTATTTAAGAACATGTCTGCCTAACAGAAACGCTCCAAAATCTGTCAGAACGTTATGCTTTTAAAAAAATCTTGTCTACGAACAACTACTTTCTGAGCTAACAGCCACCTTATCGGCTAATTTGCCCAATATAGAAAAAACCCTGCTTTTGGTTGAAATTTACTGGATTCGGTTGGTTTGAACATAATCTCTGATAAAGTTTCCATTTTTCTGCATGAAGCAGAGCCTCAACCTACCAAGAGTCGGAAACCGTAAGCCTCTCATACTCGGCATTTAACATGGACTAGCCCGCTTGGCGGTTCTTGCAGTCGACCCCATGGCGGCATGGTGATATTCTATTGTTGGCTACCAATGTTCTCAAGCACAAGTGCAGCAGTACAGTTTGATGAACAGGTGCCTGCCTTCTTTCAAGTTTCAAGTACACCCCTGCTAGACCTTCCCTTGATTTTGGGAAGGGGTAAAAAGGAGATTTTACTTGAAATAAATTCATATATAATAAGTTATTATTATTATTATTATTATTATTTATTTTAGTACAAAGTATTGTGGAAACATCAAAAATTGTTTGATTACATTTTACTTTATTTGTTTTCCCCCTTTTTGGGGAAAAAATGATTGAATTATGTGAGATCTTGTAAAATCCCAACTTTCTTTTTTTGTTTTATTATGAAATCATATGATACCATTTTCATTTTATTTCACTTTTTTTATATTGATTTTTTTTATTAACCTGGATATTCAACCCGCTATGTGAGCTGACTAATCCCAGGGCGACTATCTGCTTTGCAGATAGCCCGGAGTCACCGCATTTGAACCTCCGTGGTCACAAGGGGATTTTTATTCCTCCTTGGATTTGAACCTGGAACCTCCTGAATTGTTTTGATCATGCATTTTCCATAAATTCTTCTAAGTATGTTAAATCGGTTAAAATGCTACAAAATTTATGTTAGTTTCTATTTAGTATAAGAATGATTCTTTTTCTTAATTAATGTAATAAATGTCTATTTTTTTTTATTAACCTGGATATCCAACCCGCTTTGCGAGCCGACTGATCCCAGGACGACCATCTGCTTTGCAGATAGTCCGGAGTCACCACATTTGAACCTCCGTGGCCACAAGGAGATTTTTATTCCTTCTTGAATTTGTCTATATTTTTTTTATTGTATACATATTTTGACTGATAACCAATGGATCAGATTTCTGACATGTTTATATGCTACGAAGAGTCTTAAATAGATCACGTGGCATGTAAATATGTTAAAATTAGGTTTTTGCATAATGTATTTGTTTATCTCAACCATTTGATTTGAAAATAATACAAATACATTTGATCCGACACTTAGAAGAATTCTTAGTTATAGTTTTAGAATAGTTATATCCAAATTATAACATTTTAACATTCGGATTTGATATCAAGATTTGATATCTGAACTCAGTTCCCATCATCCGGTTTTAATGTTTGGATCCAGTATGTAGACTCAGTTCTCAGGATTTGAATTTAATGTTCGGATTTGGTACTCAAAGGACGTGATGTTTAGTTTTGATATCCAAATTCAACATCCGAATTTCATACCCAAATTGGACTTCCGAATGTATCATCCGGTCCTAATTCTCAGAAGATAAAATAATCTAAGTCTTGTGTATCATCTAAGTTTTATACTTCATAAGTAGTCTTGCTAGAATCCGATATGTAGCTTATGTTTCGGAAAGATAAATAGATAAGATTTTTCTTTGTAAAAGTCTTATAATTATCTGTGTTAATCCAAGAACAAAAAGTCTTTAACAAAATCGAAGACTAGTTGAAGGCCAAGATCGTCACCAAAGTGGATTGAACTGTTATCTAGCCAAAAAAAAAAGATCAATACGAGATAAAGTTAAAACTAGTTTGCCAAATACTACTTATAGCAAGTTGATTTTGGAATGCAAACTCATGTAGCAAGTTTGGCTCACCATCCCTACCAACTATTGTCCTGATATGAGAACATGTTTGGCATGTTAGACAAAGTAAGTTCAAAAGTAGTATCTTATTGGTACATACTTTATTTATTGTTCCATGTGCATACAGAAGGATGGTTTGGTTAACAAATGTCTACGTCACCTTCAAAGGGTAAAATGAGAAGTACAAGCATGATTTGATCAACAAATTAGATAAAGACACGTGTTAAAGTTGGACATCATCATTTAACATATTAATGGCTATAAAAGGTCATCTTTGTCATTTGTTGCAATTCAATCGTTTTGAAAGAAATTTTGAATAATAATTGATCATCAAATGTATATTCTTAATTTAGTTAATTTATCAACATACCCAAGTGACATTGGCTAATAGGGGAGTTGGACTTGCGGACATGGATGATTACCATCTACGACACCATAACTATGGTGGACTATTGCGTCTATTTGGACAAGATATAATGGAGGTTCAAGCATTTACTTTGTGAATATTTACTGTCCACAACATATTTCCCTTGACTAGGACGAATTAGGTCTTAGACCTTCAGTTGATCGACATGATGGCATAGATATACCTCATCAAGAGGGTTCCTCAACGATTGTGGCTTTTTTTTTTGAATGTTTATAGAACGGTTGTCTGCAGGGGTGTGAGAGGCCGACTAGGGATATAACACCCAAATATCACATTTGCATAGAAGCATATAGTTTCAAATATGAAGAAATATAATTTACACATCTGGTCTCAATATTTATAAAAGCTACATTACAAAGTAGCTACCAAGTTTTTCCACAAAATCCCTATACAAAACTTGTATACATAACAAGTATTCAAAATTACAAAAGATAACATGTTATCCCAATCATCTCATGCAAGCATATATAACTCTTCACAATTCCCTTTCCCCTTATTATCTGGTTGTGCCGGATCTGTAATGCACATTTTCAAAACACCAAAATGAGGGCTAGACCTTGAGGTCTTGTGAGAAATCCCTTTGTTTGCTATTACATGGTGAATAATCACCAAAACACATTATAAACTCATATTTGTATCAATAACCAATAAACAACATTTTAATAAAACAAACCTCTTTTGTCGCATCAAAATGATAAGACATTATCCAATTATCACATCAAATAGCCAAACAAACCATTTAACACATTATGATAAAATTATCGCATCATATACGTAAAACTATAAATTCTTCGCGTCACATAGGTGAGACAACCCCAATTCCTTGCAACACACTGGTGCGAGGACCCATCTCATCTCATCTCATCAATAGGATGTGATAAGTTCATCTCGTCGTATCACAATGATGCGATAAAAGCCACTCATCGCATCAATAGGATGCAATAACTTAGGTCATCGCATCACACAGATGTGACAACTCAAAGTCATCGCATCATAAGGATGCGACAACAATTACCAAATTGATCAAAAACCCAGATTTTACATTCCGTTGATTATGTCACCCTTATCCTGGTATATACCTTTCTTTGATATGTCACCCTTATCCTAAAATACATCTCTTCTTGATATGTCACTCTTATAACCAAAATACACCTCTCTTTGGTATGACACCTTTATTCCAAACAGTTGATATAATCATATCAAAATACCAATTCATGCTAATTATAACATCAAAACAGTTTTATAACGTCCCCTTGTAAAGAACCATACAGTTCTAATTTCAATACCATAAAAGGAATGTTTGTAAAATAAACTCACCTTATAATTCACAGAGAGATATATGCAGACAACCACAACAATTAACTAGTTGAAATAATCATAAAATCAATTCTACAAGCTTCATTCTTCGGTTTTGTTTGCTTTGCACAAGCAAACACACACACAGAAAAGCATCTTTTTTTTACTTCAAGACTCGCCAACCTTTTTTTATCAAACCCTTATGCGATAATTTAAAATATCTCATCATATAACCATATTAAACAAATGAGGTGGTGGAATTCAAATATGCCCCGCAACTTTCCACCACTTTTCAAATCAACCCCGAGCTTTATATAAACCCGGTTATCACAAGGGATAACACTATGGCGTTCTAAAGTCATATGGAAGTTCCTTTGTACCAAAACACAAACTTCGTCAACAGTTATTTTGTACACATATTTTAGTGCTTTTTTTAGTTGTAAATTATTCATTCAATCTTTAAATTTAAGCGTTAAGATCATCTGATGCTCCGTTTCACAAAGATGCCCCTATTTTGACAACAAAATGATGATGAGAACTGTCGTGGTATTAGGGAGGCATATTTTTGAAATCATCACTTTTGACTTTAACAGTGACTCTACATCATCTTCTTCGTCTGATTCCACACCATCAACCCCTTCTTCATCCTTCGACCTTCCATTCACTATCATCAATGTCAGATATTCCCAACAACGCTGATGTACTAAGATTTATCAACTCATTTTCTAATTTATCTGTAAACTTAGTTTCTTATCTTCAACCAAAAACTATTCATCTATAATCACCCTCTAATTCCAAAACCTCAGTAGGCTCTTCCGGTGTACCATCCCATGTGTAGGCCCATACTTACGAACACTATTTTGTTCGGTTTGGTACAATTATTCATATTTGGAGTCACTAGATTAGGGAAAAGAAACCTACTGGGTTGATTGCATCCAATACCCGATTGATGTCCATACTAGCAACAGACTAATTAACAAACAACGTAACCATTCCTTTTGACATATCAACATCTATATACCCTAAAACCTCAATTGTCATCATCTAATTCTACACCATCGCCTAGCCGAAAATTTTTGTAAGATAACTTAAAAGCCACTGCCCATATCCACTAAATTTAACTTTCTCAACGCAATATTAATCAACCAGAACGTGTTATGCCAACAACAATGTTGCAAGACGTTTCATTATTCCTAACAACATATACTCCAAAACTCCATTAACTACCTACCAAAGGGCCTTTGGCATCCTAGAAGGTCAAAGGTTCAAATATGAGAAGAGTGTGTAACCTTATTTGTTATATATTTGTCGTATATAAATATTATATACTTAAAATAAAACCTACCTCTCACCCACCTCCACTAAAATAAGTATCCTAACTCTCTTATTTTGTGATTTTCATTTCCATTTGAGAAAAACTTCCGTATGATATAGGTAAGTATATGAAATAATTAAATAAATTATATAGACAAAGACGTAACAAACGTGCAACATTAACAAAAAAAAATTGGTTTTTTTAGAAAAAACAGGCATAGTTTTTATGAAATCTTAAGAACTGTGTAAAACTTTGAATTTTTAATAAATTAATGTATTGAATAATGAAAAATAAAGGGTATTTTGTAAAAAAATAAATCAAGGTGGTTGGTTTTTGTAATTATCCTTTTTTCCAAAAGTTAGTATATTTAATAGGATTATTGTTTTATTAAATTAATTAAATTAATAAGAAGAAGAATAAGGAGAGGATGGGTGACGTAGACAAGTGGGATGGGCAAAGCATGCGGTGCGACTATGAGAACATGCCTCCAACCCACCTCACCTGTTGCCCTGCGTCATCATTTGGGAACATTGCTCATTCCTCCAATCATTTATATTCCATTTATAAATTCTACATTTTATTATATTTATATATAAATATAATTTTTGCATTTGTATAACCAATATAATTTAATTTCAACTGTTTATTTAATTTGATGAATATGTGATTTCATAAAACTTTTGATTGTTTTCTAATATAAAATATTGATTACAATTAATGAACTCTAGTCAGTTTCCATAAATATTCAAATTATAATAAATGAATTCTCATTATTTTTATAAATATTTCAATTAATTGTGTTGCATTTGAAATATATCATATATAGGCGGGTTATCATACAACCTTTTACATTTCTACAACCAATACAACCCAATCTCAACCGTCCATTTAATTTGATGAATATGTGATTTTATAGAAGTTTTGATTGTTTTAAGTATTGATCATAATTAATAAACTCTATTCATCTTCCATAAATTTTCAAATCATAATAAATAAACTCTCACCATTTCCATAAATATCTCAATTTATTGGGTTGCATTGGTTGTACAAATATGATGGATTGCATTTGAAACGAAATATATATATATATATATATATATAGGTTGGTTATTATACAACCCTTGTCATTTGTGCAACCAATACAACHYAATMTMAACCGTCCATTTCATTTGATTAATATGTGATTTTATAGAGGTTTTGATTATTTCCTAATATAAAGTATTAATCATAATTAATGAACCGTATTCATCTTCCATAAATATTTAAATCATAATAAATTAACTCTAATCATTTCCATAAATATTTCAATTTATTGGGTTGCATTGGTTGTACAAATACGATAGGTTGTATTTGAAATAAACCCTATATATATATATATATATATATATATATATATATATATATTCATTTTAGACTCGATTCTATCTTTTCGCTTCTTTCAAGTTTTGGTTGTTTTATGGTTTTAGTTTCTAAAATTCAAAATGAAAACGATAAGAGTGGTATTCGATTAGTTTGAGTTTGGGCTTAAAAGGTTAAAGGTGGGACCTTTGTTGGAAGTCCCATGTTTAAATCCAATGATAAATAAAAATCTCCTTGTGGCTACGAAGGTTCAAATGTCCAAGGTACCCACTAAATGGATGGTCGTTCTGGGATTAGTCGACTCGTATAGCGGGTCGGACATCCAGGTTAATAAAAAAAATTAAAAGAAATATATCAGTGGTTTTATTTTGTATTTTAAGAATTAATACGCAAAAAAAAAAAAAATTATAAAATTCAAAAATCAATTATGAATAATTTATGTACACATGTATTGTATATAAAAAAAGAAAACCAAAAATAAAGGTTCTAAAATTGGTCTTAAAGAATAAGCAGAGTTGATGAACATGTGCACCAACATAACAACCCACAAATAACACCTTAATCATTATGCTTAGCAATAGAAGTGGTGAGAGAATTAATATTCTTTTGTTTTTCAAATTAAATAATTAAATTATTTAAATTATTTTATTATAGTGCTAATAATCATATTTAATTACTTCATAGGATTCTTTTCAGAACTGTAACCAATATGACTAATAAACATTTTATTCGTTTAATTGAACGAATGATAACAAAAATAATTTCGTTCGTTCGTTCATTTACTTTCGTGAATCTTTGGTGATCTATTCGTTTGTGTTTATTTATATACATTTGTAAACGTTTGCTAGTCTGCTGGTTAATATTTATTGTATATAAAAAATTAAATAATGTAAATAAAAATACTTTTCAAATTAAAAACCCTACTTTTCAAAGTCAGGTATAATATATATATAAAGAGTCCGGTTCATACGAGAATAGTAACTATATAAGATGATAAGAAAATAGTTAAATCACATATAATTTTATACTATAATCAAATGTAAAATCACATATGATTCACGCAACTTTGGTTGCGACCACGTCGCACGCACACCTGTTTTGATGACTTCCAATTGATTAATATAAAATCACATGTGATTTTATACATATTTTGACCGTTTCCGTATTCTCTTATTTATCTCTCTCTCTCTCTCTCTCTTGTATGAGGAAATCGTTTTTTTATATTTTAATAAAATGACTGTTATTTAGTGGTTTTGCATTAAGAAAAATCACATCCTCGTAGACGATATACCTAGGTCCTATGGGATATGCCATAGGTGTATCGGTTATGCCTAGGGCGTCTTGGCCATGTCCCCAAGCGGTATGGCCACACTTTTTTTAGCAAATGAAATTTATTTCCAGTATGATATTGTAAGCTGTCCGAAAGTGTAATTAGTCGCGATACAGGTGAGTATCTCGACCTTTCACGAAACTAAGATACATGTATTAGGGATCGTTTTTTGTACAAGTGTTCTATATTTGGTGCGTGAAACGAATTACATATTTACGAAGGTAAAATGAATTGTTTTGAACACGTATATGCACGATGAAAATGTTTACAGGATGGGTGCATTTAGATATTTTAAAGGTCGAATGTCAGACCATAGGAGAAAGTCAGGCTAAACCGTAGGGGGTCTAATTTACACCAAAACTTAAAGAATGGGGATTCCAAATGTTGCATTACTTCTACTCTTTGATTGATTACTCAGGAGTTTATGCCTCATCGCTTAAAAATAGAAGGGGTAATTTCGTCCAAGTACATTAAATTGGGTTGATTTGAGCTACATCAGGGGTCATTTACCAACAATTACCCGGGTAAGTACTTACTGGTAAAATTTAACATTTTCAACTACTTACTTGTTAAGGTTTTAGTCTACTAAAACAGTATCGTATGCAACAATTTACCCGGTAAGCGCTAGTCATGGTAAGAGTCGTCGTCATAACTTACCGGGTAAGACTCTAGGTCCTTGTTTTTGTTCTTACCGTATAAGGTTCTTGGTACTTATCATATTCATCCGGTAAGATAACGTGACTTGCTAAACGCTTACCTGGATTGTCTAGATCAAATAATATGTTTAAGGGGTCCAATGGGCCAAAGTTAAAAACTCCAGTTAGTTGAGCCCAAAACGTTAAAAGCCCAAAAATAAGCCCAATTTTTCGAGGCGGCAAATCTTCTACTTCCTCTGTTCATTTTCTTCTTTGATCCATTCCCTCTCTGCAATCCGGTTATCGTCCTCCTCCTCTGCTCGTCACTTCAGGTATCATTCCCGCTGCTAACTACTTTTGCTATATGAATCCAATTGATATGTTCTTGTTGATCGATTTTCGATTTGGTAATCGTCTTCGATTTTCAATTTGTTGCTCTTGTTCGATTTCCAATTAGCTTCAGTTTTGATGACTTCCAATCATATGTGTATTATGCATTGAAGTGATTCTATTGGAGAAATGTTGTTGAAAGCTAATGTGCTTCTTATCATGCTATTCGATAATACTAAGCTAGTGATTTTGGATCATGGAGTTGGAATTTTTAATAAATGTTGCTCGAACTCCAAATTGAAGATATAGCTATCATTTGTTTAGATGAAATGAAAGGAACGCTTTTTTAGGAGAATATTGCACAATTTTAAATGAATGCCGTACAAGTAACCCTAGCAATTTGCTGTTTTGCATTTAGAAACTATATGGAATTAGCTTTCTTTTGGAATCAAACATTGTGGATGATGAAGTGAGTTTAGAAGATATGGCTAACGCACAAACTCGAACTTTGAGAATTGAGAAAGACTATATACAGTAGTGATAAATTTAAGCTGAGTTTGTATGATATACAGCAATGGACTCGGGGGGAGCAGCAGCAAAACCATGGACCCCGAAGTTAACGCTTGAAAATTACCTTCTTTTGGAGCATCTGGACGTCATCGCTCCTTCTATTCTTCAAAAGGTCAGCTTCTTGATCGTCCGTCTCATGAAACTTTGAATGATTTCAGCTAAATTTAGGATTTATTTGTAATAATTTGCTTATGCTCTACTTTAATTCTTGCTTTAATTGTGTAGTAGATAATCAGAATGCATGGATTCAATAGCAGCAAAGTTCCAAAGGTTATGTCATCTTAAACCTTTCTTGATAGGAATAGAATTCCTTTATTGGATATCTTTTTATCAAACCAAACGAGTTGAGTATATCCACCAAAGGTGGTCTAGCAGGAGAATTAACACAGACCTGACTTCTACCTTAAATAGCAGAGCGGTTGTTTCCTTTGAGACGTTTTTTTTATTGAATTCAGTGAAAAATATATATTTGCAGATAGATTTGATGGATGCTGTGAGGTCAATCAACCTCATGGATGCACAACACTCGACCCTACAAAATGATGGCGTTTCTTCGCATGCGTTCCTAAGTTTGAAAGATGTAATCAACGACCTCTCGGGACTCCGCTGGCAAGAATGCTGCATCACTTCTCTTCAAACTATAAACTCTGTGATCGGTTTTAGCACTGGAGTTGACACCTCAATACCACAACCTTTGAGATCGAACGGCAACTTGGCTTCCGGCTGGAAGGACATCGAAGATGAGGCTGCAGCCTCCTCAATTGTGACTGACAGTGGTGCTGTTGGAGGATCAACATCAATGAAGGTTCCTGAGGATTCTGAAGGATTGAAAACCCAGGCCCATGCGTTGAAGAGAAGTAAGCTCGCATCTCTTCCTGTCTAATTGTTGTCTAGGGAGCTTCAAGTTTTAACCGCTTAAAAATAGTTTTTAACGTTACATATGGTGACAGTATGAAATAACCAAACCATATACAATTGATAGTCACACTAGTGAAGCATAACCGAGTCTTTCTACCTTTAAGACATATGAATGGTCTGCTAGTATGTTACCCGCATGCCATACTTTTGGATGGGATATATGAGTTTGTTTGGTTTACTTTGGCTGTGAGTCCCAACAGATTAGATAAACTATCCCACAACTGAACTTACTAAGACCCTAATATTATATATATACACATATATATATACTTGATGGCAGTCCACCTTCTGATAACAACATACTTACTGTCAATTCTTCCCCACCAAATCACCATCTCTCTTTTAACGCACTTAAAGGCTCCCAAGGCAAGGGAACGCCTCATCCATGGTGTGACCATTCAAATACTCTTGGATAGTGGCAATTCAGATAGTTTTTCATAACCACGAGTGGCACACTACTTGAAATTTTCGGTTCAACCAACACGAAAGTTTACGGTAGTGGTGGGTAATGGCAGCAACCTCACTTCTGAAGGAGTTATTAAGGATATACAAGTCTTAGTACAAGGTCACACCCTTCATCTTTCTGTTTACTTGTTACCTACAGAGGCTGACCTGGTGTTAGGGGCCTTTTGGCTAGCTACTCTTGGGCCACACATTGCGGATTTTAGTGCTTTATCCATTAAATTTTACTTGGGTGATCAATTTATCACTTCATTTGGCACCAAACAAAAAGTTACCTCAATCGGCTCCATTCCATTACATCCGTCGCATGTACAATACAGGAGTCATTACTGAATCTTATGCCTTGGAATATAACTCACTGTCCAGTTCTCCATTGGATACATCTGGTCAGTTTTCAGACATACCATCAGAACCCAAAGTTTTACCATCAATTTTCAGATGTTTTTGCTACCCCCTACGGGATTACCACCTTCTCGGACACTTGATCATTCCATTTCTTGATCATTCCATTCCTTTAATAGAAGGCTACACCCAATTAAGGTCAAGCTTACCGGTATCCCCACATCCAAAAGAATCAAATTGAGAAGATGGTTGATGTCACCGGTGCTTTTAGTGATATGGTTCATGAGAAGATGGTTCTGATTTTTCTAGTCTAAAGGTTGTTGAACCTTTTCTCAAAAATATTGTTAAATTACACGGCTTTCCCAAGACTATTGTATCAGATAGAGACAAGGTATTCACAAGTAAATTTGGGCAGCATCTCTCTAAGTTGAGTGGTACAACCTTAGCCACGAGTTCATCTTACCATCCACACTCGTAGGCTCTGCATAAATGTTTGGAGCAGTATCTTGGTTGCTTTACTGGAAGTCGGCCCAAAATATGGTCACAGAGTATTGGTATAATATTTGATCTCATAGTAGCTTGGACATGACACCATTTAGAGTGGCGTATGGAGGAGAACCCCCTCCTTTGGTCAAATATGAGTTCTCCACCATAGACCCACCTGCACTGCAAGAGCTAATGCAAGAATGAGATGTTGTGCTCGCTCAACTTAAGTCCAACCTCCTCAAGCCACAGGCTTGCATGAAGAAGTATGCAGGTAAGAAGCAACAGCTTTTGAAAATCGAAAGTAAGAAAAGAAGAAAATGGAACTTGAACATTTGTACTTGAATTAATACTTGAGAACAAAGTATTTCGGTTCTTGAATATGTAAGGAAACCGAATGCTAAAATATTAGGGAGGAAATATTAAAACCCAAAGGTTAAAGTGTGATTTAAAGCTTAGGAACAACTCCTATTTATAAGGAGATTCAAGCTTACACTAGAAGATATGTTAATATTACAAAAGAAGGCTTACGAAAGCTAGCCTAAAGCCCAAGCCTTAAATTCTGCAGCTCTATCAATCCAGTCCATGGTTTCAGCCCAAGACAAAACTGCAGCCCACTGCTTGCTCCTGTAGGACTACTGTAGTACCGAAAAGAATCTTGTAGGACTACCACACGACTTAGACAGAAAACTTAAAAAATCTGCATAAATGGCAAAATAACATAAAATTATGACATAATACTACAAATAGATATAAAAGCATAAAATGACTCAATTTAGACACCAATGGGCAAATAAAACAAAAGAAAATGATTAAAAAATTGATGTAATAAGGTTAATAAATCAACACCTATCATTTACATATTTAATTTACTTGCAGTTTAGTTACGATCTTCTTAATGACATCACGTTTAAGAAACAATTTTTCAAGCTGGTATGGAACATTCACATATCCCCTGAGAAATTTGAAAGTAGATGGAGGATTCTTATTGAGGAGTTCTCCGTTCAAGATCATCTGTAGCTGAAAGATATGTTTGCTCTAAGAACTAAGATCCCAGTTGATCCCCGCATATTTTAAAGAGCTTCCAATGTGTTGCCTCGTGAAGACCATGTCTAGGTTGAAAAGTGCGAACTCATATTTTAACTCTTTTTCAAAGAGTGGGAACAGTCTTTTTCAATTTATGCTCGAGTTTGAATTTGCATTAGAGAAACAACGTAGGGAACAACATCGTCTGGATTATCACACGAGGACTACCTTACCTAAATAGTTGACTTACAGCAAGTTGGAGAGGCACGCTTGTGACGTTTATATGTGTTCGGTATTCTTTGAGGTGCAAACTGAGTCACATAGGGCAGCATGGACATGTTCAATTAAGAGTGTCAATTCAGGCGAGGAAGTTAACACATATTTAATTGAACATTTTGACAAAAGAGACGAGAAAATAGCAGAGTATAAGGTATGCTTTAATGCAAAATTATGTAATCAATTTTCTATATTAGTGTTTTCTTTGAAGGTGCAATGGGGATTTTAGTTGTTTCAATGGCTTATGAACGTTATCGATCAATATGGTCTCAAGATCGGATACACCACCAGATGTTGTAGATGAACCTACTAAAGACGAAATTGAGTATATCATAGCTGACCGCTGTTTAGGTTTGTTCGTAACTTGAATGAGTCGGCAACTGTTTGTAGTTGCTGTAAAGTTTCAAGTTTAAAAAACTGGTCTCACAGGTCTCACGTAAACAGTTTGATCTCAAATGATCCCAAGTCATATATATATATATATATATATATATATATATATATATATATATATGCATGTAAAACATTTATAATTTCCACGAAAACTTGTACACAAATATGCATCTTAGGTTTGAGAATCAAACCAAACCAAACCGGAAAAAAAAAAGACAAGTAATTACTTCTTGTTTCGACTACTAAAAGATATACATATTTCTTGCTTTCTAACTTCAAATGCTAAACAAAAATAAGCGAATGAACGTAAACAAAAGAATTTAAACAAACATAATAAACAAATTGACATAAATGAACAAGAAATAACCAATCATTACTCATTACTTCGTTCATCTAAGATAACATAACAACATATATAAATTTAGGAGGGATGAAAAAAGAATTTTGAAAAATTAATTTTATTTTATTGATTTTGCTTATTAATGTCATAATATGTAAACATATATATTTATATGTATAAACAAACATAAATAAACGTAAACGAACATAAAAGGACGTAAATAAATGAATGTAAGTGAACGAACGATGCCATTGTTCATGTTTGTTTAAATAAACAAGATATACTAAGTACATCTGGTTTGATCTTGAAGCTCACCGGTTCTTTTGGTTGGAATTGATATGGTTTCAAACACACGATACAAGTATTAAAGTGTTCATAATATTTCAAACTCAAAACAGCAAACCTGCATTGATTAGAAGCTGAATTATACTAACACCGAAAGAGATTACATTAGTCCATTCAGATAAAGAACAAATATCGTAGAAGACACGCACTCCGTATTCTTGATTCTAAAGACCATCTATAGTATAATAATCGAGTTGATCTGAATTTATTCAAGTATAACAGTTAAACCCAAGGTTTGGCTTTTGCTCACCAAAGCTCGTTATACGCTGCTAGATCCAAGCAAGCCTCTGCAATCGACTTATCTTGATCGAGTATTTGAGCATTCGTTGAAAGATTTTGCTGGAAATCCTGTATGAGTTTGTTTAAAAGAAGCTTAAAATACATCATTACTAAATCAAGAAATTAAACAAATCAAGGATTCAACACCATCTAATCCGAAGTTCAGTGAGAAAAGTAAATCGTACACGATGTCAAGACATGTGAAGCCGCTTCATTTGCTCTTTAAAAGAGCCCTTGAAGATAGAAGGGGGATTCCAACATATATACAGGTTAAAGGAACCGTTTCTATATGATGTAGGATGACAGGACCTAGAGTGTCAGTCCCTAGAGGTGGTAGACCTCCATTCTAGTACCATGTGAAGATATGTGGAACCTCTTCAAATTAATTTAAAAGAGCCCTTATAGGGAGAAAGGAGGTTCCAATATACATAAAGGTTAACGAGACAATGTCTAGCTGATGTGGAACTCCAACACACGACATAGAACAGTTTTTTACTTTGCAAGTTACACATATAAGGGCTACATTGGTTGTAACAACCAAACCAAACCAAACCAAACCAAACCAAGTATATCCCATACAAAGGTAGAGTTGGGAAGGGGGGGGAAGGATATACGCAGACCTTGTCTCTACCACCCTGAGGGTAGGGAGGCTGAAAAAACAAAAAAAAACAAGGAGAAAAACAAGGCATGTGAGAAAAGTAGCATAGCATGGTCACCATTTTGCAGTGAGACTACTTTCGTTACTGAAACAAGTGACCTTCCTATGTTTAAGGAGTGGGCTTAACTGTGAGATCCAAGGCCTCCCTATGTTCTTGTACACTCACTTAACCTTCACAAATTGACGAAGGATCGTGTGAAAATAGGAGTTAAGTTGAAAAACGTAAGAAGGGAACTGGACCCTTGATCACTTTTAATCTCACCCCACCCTATGAATTGGGTTTATCACGGGAATTGATCCGGTGCATCTCGGTGCACCGCATTAGTGTTGATAATCAATTAGGATTGATCCAAAGGTGGATATCCCTTCTTACCCTTCTAACCATAACTTCCATTCTCACCACAACCTAACCCTCACATATTTTGTTACATATATTAGTCAAATGTGAAAATTACCCTTCAGTACTAACAAAAAAGGATGAACAAAAATCAATACCATCAATTAGTTTTAACACTGATGATACGCAGGTATCAGAAATTTGCAAATACCAAGATGTTTCAATTGTTATGGAACTTCAAGAAATGGGAATTGTTGCCACTTTAATTGCTGGAGTATAATTTCTTTGACAAAAAAACGATGGTTCTAAGGACCAAAAGATGAAAACTGATGATCCCTTGCTACAGCATTAAATTCAAGAACCATCCGTGAGTAGGAAAAACAGATACCACATGTAGATATGTTGTTGGATTTTACCTTGGTAGGAAATCCCCTGATGTAACCAACAAGTGTTACTTCCATTAGCTGATCAGAGATTTGTCCATCACTTCCATTGATGAAACAAGCTTGCTGAAATGAAATGCTACAATTATTAATCCCAACCATGTTTATTTTCATTAAGAGATACCAAATGCAATTCTAGCAGTACCAAACGATGCTGATTTACATCAAATGTAACATTTGGACATACTTTCAGAATATATAAAAAGTAAAGAACCTCGTGAGATCATGAACTCTAACTGAAGCCCGACTCGTTATACATTTTTGATGTTTCATCCACTTCTTATCTGTTTGTTGTTAGTTAAAAGACTAATGTCCTAAGCCTATGGTGCAACAACAATTAGACTCTTTATGATAAAACAAATACTCTCCTGTCCCATGTAAGCACAATGTTCAAGCTTAATTTACCTATTTGCCATTCTGATCATTAAACTTTACTAAATTGTATTGCTTTCTTTGACAAGATTCCCATGTTCTAATATTTTTCAAGGGTGTTTTTGACATTTGGCTACTAGTCAAACATTTTCCTTAAGCTATGCATCAGTTCAAACAAAGGAAATTAGACAAATAGGGTGAAACAAAATATCATACTTCAGAATTCAGATATTGATATAAGACAATATAGCTATTCTTAAAGGGACAAATCATTTGAAGTCTCAAATGATTCAAGAAGATAAGATGATTCAGGGAAAAACATTTATTTTGCCCATGTCCCCTATGTAAAACATTTTGCCACTATGGAACTTGTTTTGCCGCTAGTATTATTTTCTGGCACAAAAACAAATAGTTCTAGATGTGTTGGCCCTTAATGAGGATTAGCATCACATGATTATGATATAGGCAAACTAGATAAAGTCACTCTCTCTGTTGGCAAGTAGCATCAGTGGGCATAGTGGTTTGATCAGGGAAAACTAGATAAAAACAATTTCATAGTTCAGTGGCCAGAACTTCTAGATGTGTGAGAGCCAAACAAGTATTAGTTTTATGTAAGTTCCATAACCCTGTTTACAGGATAATATTTATTAGAAATTAAAACTCTTGCAAATGCTTAGATTCTCACAATATTTCTCCTGAAAGCACCACAGCTGCGGTCCCATCTGATGCTAACCACAATCTTAAACCTCTCCAGTGAGTCAACTTCAACCCAACCAAAATAGACACCCCAGGCTTGACCAGGAAGATCAGAAGCTTCATTATCTGAAAAAGCAATAAGACATGAATAAACACAGCTCAAAATATATATACCTATATGGCTATATTCCAGATTTAAGTGTTGACATTTCTAAATTTTGAATCAAGTTCTAAGGGAGTCGATAAACAAGAAGTTTTTATTTGGTATATAGCATGCTTCTATAACATTAATTTGATTACAATTGTGAATTGTAACAAAGCCAAGTGCACTGTAAACCTGCATTTTCTTGCAGAAATCCATTTCTGTATGATCCCTCGAAATGAATTGGTTCAATTGGCAATGCTTTCATCACCCCTGCAACCATAAAAAGTTATTTGAACTTATATTTTCTGATGTAAGACAGTTGCCTTGAGCAAAGACAGTGGATGACATCTTATTATGGAAACATACAGTCATCAAATGGTGGGAGTGCCCAAAGCTCTGGATGGAAATCTAGGAATGAATGGATCACGTGATCAGCAATCAAATATTGATCCGATTCACTTTGAATAGATGGCACGGCCACCACTTGCATTTTTGCAGCCTTTCCAGCTTTAATCCCTACCCTGTTGATAAAACTACATTGTTAACCCATCTGGAAGCTTAAGTTGTTCAGGGGAGAGAGAGAGAGAGAGGTATCAGTAGATATAGAATAAATCAAACATTCAAAGCTGTCTCCACAATGCACCCGAACTAGCTCAGTAGCAGAGGGCTCCCTACATGTACAAAAACACATTCTTGCAAGCAAAATGACAATCAACCTCAATGTGATTGGTGCCCTCATCAAATGTCATATGTGAATATTTTTTCTAATCACCATAATCTCCAAGAAACCACATGATTTTATTAAAATCTGAACTTGATAAGATCGGGAAGTTGTTTAAGATCTAAGAATAACATGTAAGTCACACATCGCAATTACTTTCTAACATAATCAGAGAAGTGAAGAAGACCAGGATCACTTACACAGAATCCTCTACCACAAGACAGCAAGATGCATCCACACTCATTCTATTTGCAGCTTCCAGAAATCTGATATTCAAGTGGTTTGATCATTGTCACCCATTTTAGTTACAATCTCAATTGCCAAAAGTAATTTAGGCAAATAATGGCGTGAAAACAAGTTAGGAAGGAGGAAGGCAGAAACTACAAGCACACACTCTTTTGGGAATTGTGTAGAGGCACAACCATTAAGATGTACAAGGAATCATATATGAAGCGCTTACAAGTCTGGAGAGGGCTTCCCTGATTTAACTTCGTCACTTCCAAGAATTACTGAAAAGTACTCTTTCCAACCTAGTGTAAAAAAATGAAACTGAATTTGGTAAAAAAGAAAAAAGAAACCTAAGTACATGCCAGAAACAACTCTTTACTTTGCCCCAGTGCACTAAGAGAAATGATGCAAAAAGAACAGGTGCAAAACAAGTAGAATCAGTCACTATAACCCCTCTTTGTGCAAGGTGCAACTAACAGATACATCATCAAGAAAGAAGTTCCATAAAAAATTGAAACAGTTATATTTGACAATGAAACTTCTATAATAATAAYATATAATAATAGAACAAATGTACAAATTCTTTTCCTAAAAGACATTAATATAATCAAGAACAGTCTTTTATGTTCTTCAGAAACTGCTATGCACCTAAAGGAGTAACTATGCAGAACTTGCAAGAAGGTAAGCTTGGATTGAAAAATAAATAAAAGAATTCACCATATTTCAGCCTATGCAATTTTGCTGTCATTTTAGAGGGGACTAAGCTGCTGTAAATCCAGCCTTAGTACCAATCTTACATACTTAACATAGTCTGTAGAAGGAACATGATAATATGATGTTTTCTAGATGGAAATAGGTGAAAAGAAAAGTAGATAAAAGAAATGCATCGGAAGACTATTCAAGAAAAGAAAAAGCTCAAATTGAGTAAAACAACAATTAATGTATTTTTCTGGTGTTTATGGAAACATGCATGTCCGTAAACCTTCTAAGGTTAACATGGTATGATAACAGTTAAGACCATTAACGGTGAAAAGAAGAAAATAACATGACCTTTTTGGGCAGATACTTTGACTTCTACATTCTTCTTTATGGAGTTTGAAGCAACTGCATATGGAATTCCATGCTTATGTAGATGCTTGATGAGGCGATTAACACCAGGAAGTGCTTTGGCTTGCAGCCACCTAGAAGAACATAATTGAATTTGTAAGTGATTACAATAAGTGTTTCTGGAACAAACATGTAACAATAAAATAAGTAACACTTGTAACTCAAAGAAGAAGCTACGAATAATTGCAATACTACATTATACGTATTTTCAGTTGTAATGCCTCACATCTTAAGCTCCAAGTCTGTTACATCATACGTATATCATTGCTTTAGTTGTGAATAGTTTAAAAGCACAAGAAAATGTTTCCAGGTGAAAAAAGAAAAGAGTAATGACTATGATGCAAATCGTTCATCTTTATTCCACAATCAAATGTTTACAGATTGATTTCCAGCTTTTTGAGAGAGCTGGTTCTCTCCAGAGAGGTTTTCCTCCAACTACAAAATACGAAACTGCCTAATCACTTCTACCCCCTTCTATTTATACTTCTAATAACCAACTTACTTGACTAATTGACCAGCCCCCTATTATCCATACTATCTATATTTGTAACAGACTACTTTAGATGTTGCACAAGTTCTATTGTAATATACTTACAATTGCATTGATGTTAAATAAGATATAGGTCAGTAGCAGACATCTGCTGAGTGTAGTTGCAAAAGTAGTTCCACATACTCCTCAAACTTAACTACCTATTTAGTATTCAGGTAAACCTGAAGAATCATTTATTTTGTATCTTTTTAACTTTTCCCAATAACCCAAATAAGAAAGCTAGATGCAGTTGAGAATGGAGTTCTCTGGGGAAAACACCCCAAAAATCAAGCAACCAGAGGTGTATTGCAAAAGAAACATTACGTGTGTGTATTTCATAATGAGAATGTGATACTTGATGTATGGTTTATATACTAGCCACTCTTTGAGCACTAAGTTAGCTCACTCAACAAGGCACGCGAGCCCATCTTTTGAGAGAGTATGATTGGAGTTTAATTTCTTTGAGTGAGACCCATTAAGGCGTCAACCTGTCTCTGACATTTTCCCATGTACATAAACTGATGGCCAATTTATGATCAGGAAGTGACGAGGTTACATAGTTCGGAATGGGTAGAATAGGACTGAGTTCATGTATCGGATGGTGAAGACTAATTGCACCTAGGGAGTTGTCTTTTGATTCACTTAGAAGGGTTATTGTACATGTTTTGTTCTAAAATAACTACAAGAATATTGACCACAACTATGTGGAAAGTGTCCACCATGACTTTAGGTTATAAAATAGGCTTGTGGAGAGTATTGGCTACACTTTTGTAGGAATTATTGACCTTGATTTTTGGCTGTAAAGTATGAAGCTTACAATTGTATTACGCAAGTAGTTTGACATACTAGTTAAAAAATTATTCTTCTTATACATCATGTATTTGAGTTGATAATGAATATATGAAAAAAGTTGGGTTTGATTCCCAAAAATCTTCATGGTAGTAAAAGCATCTTAATTTTCATGGCTAAAACAGCTACTACAGGGAACTTCAAATTCCTCCTAAAGCAACTCTACTCACAATAGAGAGAGAATCACCATGAGGCAAGGTGGAGATACCTCTCATCAATTCCACCAACTTACCTCCAAAAGCTTGAACAGGAAGAACTACCTCAATTGGCACATATAGTGAAGTTGACAATCAACGGGAGGGAATATTTTGGCTATCGATCGAGAATGTCACACAACCCAACGGAGATCCGGATCGACAGACATGAAAAATTGGAGTTCATTTTCTGGAAGCTTCAGTGACTATCTTAGACCACAGATGTGGGTTCTAGTCTGAATATTGGATCTAAAGTAGCCAATTACCAACCACAAGAGTGGGTTTTTAGTTTAAAAAAATTGAGTTTAGGATAAACTATCTTCGACCGTCAAAGTGGGGCTCCTAGTATGCAAATCGGGTTTATGATGACATATCTTTGACTACTCAAGTGAGATATTAGTCTGAAGATTGGATCCAAAATGACCAATCTTCAGCCATGGGAGAGAGTTTCTAGTCCGTAGATTGTGCATAGAGAGAGCCTAAGATGAAGATATCATAAAAAATACATTCAAAGATAAATGTAAAAGTCAGAGCTATTCCATAATCTTCCAAGTCATAACCTAGTTAGGAGCTCGATTCATTCACATGCAACAACTTGACAATTGAGATTACATGATTTAAGGAATAAAAAAGAGACCATCAGAGTTGCACGTCTAAGATGTGTGGCTGTGCAATCAAGTATGTGTATGCTACTGTCATTATATGATGAAAGTAGTATCATGAAAGACAAGATTATGAAGTTCAAACTACGTAGTTGTCCGACTATTGATTATTGGGTGGAAAGCATCTTGCCGTATTAACACTTATTGTTTCATATGCTCCAAAATACTGCTCAAAACATCTGTTTGATGATATATATGCCTCATAAAGCAATCTCCCAACTCAAATTCAGTAAATAAGCTAAATCATAATCTTAGAAACCAATGGAGGTCAAGATGTTTGGTTGATGTATTTAAGTTAGCATAGAACCAAATCTTGTGTACAGTCCCAAGTCTCTTGTTTTCAAGTACTCCATACCTTTAGCGTTTTAGTGTTTTATCTTGATCTGGAGGGGTCTCCCCCCTCCCTATCAAAAAAGTACTCCATCCCTTTCTAGTATCATGGAAAGAGAGCTCACTTGTCATGATACATGGGCATGATGCTTTGGGTGTATTGCTGAGGAGTAATTGGAAGATCATAGTCTTTAACAATGCCAATTGCTGATTCATGGTGTACAGTCCCAAGTCTCTTGTTTTCCTTGTCCATATCCACCACTTTCCCATATTTAGCAAGAAATTCCTTTAACAGATCCTTTGTAAGTTGCTCTTGGCACAAGCAAACATAAAAATTCAAACAAAATATAAGCATTTACAAGTATGAACCAAATCAGAAATATCCCAAATATAATCAACATGCTAGCAAAAGCGAAACCATAAATGTCATCCTGCTTCAAAATGGTAAACTCTGAATCGAAATGATGGTGAAGATAATTATACTGACTCGTGAATCAAATCATTCACACATCAAACAAATTATAGGTTGGGAGTTGCCATTTGTGCTTAAATAGTTGCGAAGGTAAACAACCCTAAATGTCAAGTACAATCAAGAACTAGACTACCTGTATTCAGAAGGGTGCCATCCATGTCGAAAATCACGGCGGAGATACGACGGCCGTTCATGGCGGTGGTGTTGGAGAGAAGCCGTAAATGGGATTGAAGTGAAATGAAGAAGGCATTATAAGAGGGTTTGGGAGATTGTGATGGGTGATTCGCATGATGCAAATGGACAGGGTAAGAAGTTAAAATTTTGGAGGTGCTTTGGCGCCTTTTTTATTTGGAGAAAGGTAATTACATATACATCCTTCAACTTTTAGACTTTTTCATTTTTAACCCATAACTTCTGTTATTTGAAATGGACCACCACTTTTTTATGTTTTGCTATTGAACTCGCCACTAAACTCTAATATTTAAATTTGAATCAATATAATTACAAATAAATTAAATATATAAAAGCAATAAAATGAGTTATTTTTCATTATGAAATTGAAGGGAAGATATATCCTTTGAAGTAAGTTAAAGGACCAAAAGAGAATAAAATGGAAGTTGAAAACTAAAAGTGAAAATTCTTTGAAACTAAGCATATTCTATTATGGTATTAAAACATGAAAGCATCTATCCTGACAAGATTCCTGATTTATGGTATCGAATCAACGAAAACATGCATTAAAAACATGGCTACAAATGAATAATTATCACTTTTTTTGTGATTTTTCTTTAAACATGACTTAAGGAAAAACATAAGAATACATTTTCATCATTGTATCAGTTTTAATTGAATGTCAACATTAATAAGATGCACCAGATCAACTCTCTTTTAAAACATAATTTGTAGGTGGTCATGAGATTAAAAATGACCGATGGTTGAAATATATTTTTATAGTTCTCATCATGACTTCACTTTTCACATGATTCTTCACATATATATATATATATATATATATATATATATATATAAAAAGGAAGGTTCAACTTTTAAAGTTGTGAACAACTTTTTAAGTTGTGAACTAGTGGACAAGTTTTGTTCCTTTGTCTCTGTTTGACATAACAAATTACATTAAATATACTTTTAATTAAAATAGTTAGGGGTTACACCGGTTGGATTGTTCGGGACATTTTTACAACTCAATCCGATTATTACGGTTTAGAAAAATCTCAACTCAATCCAACCTATTCAAAAGTATAACCAAATCCTTACAAGGTTGTGGCGGTTTTGGAGTGTACATTAAATTCTTATAAATAACTTAATTTATATATGGCTTAATAAAAAACAACATACGAAGTTTTTCATCATTTTGTTGAAAAGAGAATAAAAAATAATTAAATAAATTAATAACGTGTATTCACATGATTGATGAGACTGGAAGGGAACAGAGAATTTGGAGACAAAACATGTTTTTATTTGAAATCAATGGGGAGGTAGAGACGTTTTACGCAATGGATTTCAGACACGGAAAACACATTGCTGCCCTCAACTTGGAAAAACAACCCGTTAAGCCAAAAACAACCCGTCTTAAATGTTGAAAAGAAAGAGATTATGTTGATCCATTTAGATGATGAAGAAAACAATTAATGGTTTGTAAAGACCATCTATAATATATTTTTGGAGTCAATATGTGAATTTGTAACAATTAACACAAACTTTAACTTTGGTCACCAAGTTCTTTGAAGCTAAGGAAGGATGTCGTGATGGCGATATGCTGGTAGATCCAAACAAGCTTCTGCAATCGACTTGTCTTGGTCAACTATTTGAGCATCGGTTGATAGATTTTGCTGTAAATCATTAAATCAAGAAATTAAACAAAAACGGGGTGGAGAATATGTGGAACCCACAGATTTACTCTCCAAAAAAGAGAGAATGGATGTTCCAACATGTATAGAAGAGAAGTGGTTCAAGTCTAGCTGATGTGGAGCTCTAACACCTTTATCCATTATAATCACTCAAGAAAATCAAAACTTAGTTACCTTGCTACAAAATCCCCTGATGTAACCAACAAGTGTTACTTCCATTAGCTCATCACAGATTTGTCCATCACTTTCACTTCCATTGATGAAACAAGCCTGCTGATATGAGAAACTACAACTGTTACTTCCACTTCCAACCATGTTTATTTTCATTCATATTTCATTGCAGATACCAAATACAACTCTAAAACCACAAACCCAACAATTATAATGTTCAAGTTGAAGTTACTTATTAATCCATTGTCATTACAAGTTATTGATCGCGTTGAATATTATTTTGCCACTAGTCTTATTTTCTGGCAAAAAACAGATGGTTCTTGATATATTAACCCTTAATGACAATTAGCATAGCATCCTTATGATAGAGGTAAGCTAGATAAAATCACTCTCTTTTCGCAGGAAGCATTGGTGGTTATAGCAAAAAGTGTCATATGGTTAGATAAACAACTTTCATAATTTAGTGGCCAAAACTTCTAGATGTATGCAAGTTCCCTAACCTTGCTTATAGAATCATATTTATTAGAAATTGAAACTCTTGCAAATGCTTAGATTCTCACAATGTTTCTCCTGTATGCGCCACAGCAATGGTCCCATCTGATGTCAACCACAATCTTAAGTCTCTCCTGTGAGTCGACTTCAACCCAACCAAAATAGACACCCCAGGCTTGACCAACAAGATCAGAAGCTCCATTATCTGAATAATCAGATAAGACATGAATAAACATTGCTCTAAAGTATGTACACGTATATTCCAGATTTAAGTGACATTTCTAAGATCTTGGTGTATAATAGTGATGTGGTTTTGTTTGGTATATAAATGTGCTTCTAGAGCAACCCATGTGATGAAAATTGCGAATGTAACAAAGCGGAGTAAGCTGCAAACCTGAACTTTCTTGCAGAAATCCATTTTCGTATGATCCCTTGAAATGAAATGGTTCAATTGGCAATGCTTTCATCACCCCTGCAACCATAGAAAGTTATTTGAACTTATGTCTGATGTAAGGCAGTTGAATTGAGCAGAGACAGTGGATGACATCCTAGTAAGGAAACATACAGTCCTCAAATGGTGGGAGTGCCCAAAGCTCTGGCTGAAAATCTAGGAATGAATGAATCACATGATCAGCAATCAAATATTCATCTGATTCACTTTGAATAGATGGCACCGCCACCACTTGCATATTTGCAGCCTTTCCAGCTCTAATCCCTACCCTGTTAATATGATTACATATTTAACCGGTAGTGAAGGTTAAGTTGTTCAAGAAATAGAGAAAGATCGAGGTATCATAATCACTTACATGGAATCTTCTATCACAAGACAGCAAGATGCATCCACACCCATTTTATTTGCGGTTTCTAGAAATCTGATTTTTTCAAGTGATTTCATCATTGTCACGAAAGTAAATCACACGAATTGCCTCTTAAACTGAAACAAGTATTCTATAGTATGTGTGCAATGTCCAAGTTTTGGCTCTTAGCTTACATGTCTGGAGAGGGCTTCCCTGATTTAACTTCCTCACTTCCAACAATTACTGAAAAATACTCTTTCCAACCTGTTGTAACAAAATGAAACCGAACTTGGTAAAAGAAAAAACATAAGTACATATAAATCTACAGCTTGGTTTAAAAATGCGAGCATAATGCGCTCTGATGCCTGATGTGCTCTGATGCGCCAGAGGTAACGCATCAGAGGGGATGATACGAAGCGATTCCATGATGCTCTCTGATGCGGTCGCATCACCTATGCATCACACGATGCGTGCATCAGCACATCCTGTATGTTTCATGTTTTGGCTCCTTTTTCATTTTTTAGAGGTTTTTAGTTGGGCTTTTTGTAGATTAAAATAGAACATAATAATGACCTAAATAAAATAGAAGCTCCTCTCAAGTCTCAAGTCGCATATCAGATTAAGAACATATATGTGAGTCGTGACCTAATAAAATAGAAGCAGAAGTAGTTTGTGTGTTTTGTTATTCCGATTCACGAACTACTAGACATTTACTTGTGTTCTTCACAATAGTAGTTTGTGTGTTTTGTTATTCCCATTCACGAACTTTTTAAGATTTTAATGCCACTTTTCGAACTACTTTTTTTTTATTAACCTGGATATCCAACCCGCTATGTGAGCCGACTAATCCCATGGCAACCACCTGCTTTGCAGATAACCCGGAGTCACCGCATTTGAACCTCCGTGGCCACAAGGGGATTTTTATTCCTCCTAGGATTTGAACCTTGGACCTCCTGGTACTTTTGACCTTTGGAGCCAAGCTCAAACCAATCAGGCACCACCCTTGTGGTTGGCCCCAATAAACTTTAGCTACTATGCTGAATGTACAAAACAAATCAACATTCAATGATAGAGCAAATATATAACTTAGTTTACATAGTCTGTACAAGGAAACAGAAAGTTTTCTAGATAGAAATAGGTGAGGAAAAAGATTTGATGAACATAAATGCATCAAAAGACTATTCAAAAAATAAAAAGCTCAACTTGATTAGTACAACAATGAATGCATTTTCTTTCTGGTGTGAATGTGTGTGGATGTATGTGCATGCATACATGCAAGTCAGTAAACCTGTTAAGATTACATTAACAATAATATGGGGATATGGTTTGGTAAGACTTAAGACCATCAACCATAGAAAAGAAGGAAACATAATATAACCTTCTTGGGAAGAGACTTTGATTTCTATACTCTTCCTTCTGGAGTTTGAAGCAAGTGCATATGGAACCCCGTGCTTACGGAGATGCTTAATGAGGCGATTGACACCAGGAAGTGCTTTAGCTTGCAGCCATCTAGAAAATTAAGGAGTTTTTAAGAACAAAAACCTTAATGCTTTACAGTATAGTATAGAAAACTTAAGAGCTCACTTTTCATGATACATGGGTGTGATGATTTGCGAATATTGTTGAGGTGTAATTGGAAGATCATAGTCTTTAACAATTGCAATCGTTGACTCACGATGTGCCATCCCATGCCTCTTCTTTTCCTTATCCAAATCCACCACTTTCCCATATCTAACAAGAACTTCCTTCAGTACATCCTTGGTAACATGCTCTTGATGCCAGAAAATGGCAAAAATTCAAACAAACTATGAGACAACAGTTACAGATATGAACCAAATCAGAAATACCCAAAAGATCTTTAAGATGCTAGTTGTATTTTCTGCTTAAATACTCATATTTTGTGCCTAAACAAACGAAATCAATTAATGCCCAGTATAGGAATTAGAGCCTTTGCGCCCAATTCCGAAAGGGTGGAGACCAAATCGAAATCACCGTAGAGATAAGCATTCAGATTCGTGTGTAGCTGCTGCCATTGTTATATGCTTAAATAGTTGTCATAGAACGAAGGTGAAGTACCCAAAAATGTCAAGTACAAGAAGTAGAATACCTGTGTCCAAAAGGGTACCATCCAAATCGAAAATCACGGCGGAGATGCGACGGTCGTCGTCCATATGGCGGAGAAAACGTTAACAGGATTGAAGGGAGACGAAGAAGGCATTTTAATAATGGAAGGCATCGTGCAAATGGACGAGAATGGATGCTTGGCGCTTTTTCCGTTTGGATAAAAGGTAAATTGCATATGCATCCTTCGATTTCTGTACATTTTCAATTTAAACCCCAACTTTCTGTTTAGTTGAAATTAGTCCTCTACTTTTAATATATTTCACAATTAAACTTTCTCATATATTACCGAATATGGTTTTTGTAGAACTTATTACCAAGATACATCCTAGATGTTCTATTAAGTACCTTAGAGTCGTAAGCAGGGTAACTATAAATATAATTTATATCACCACTAGCCATGATTTCTGCCATAAAACCAACAAGCAAAAGGGCAACAAACTCCTGATTTTGGTGCTTGTAGAAGGACGTTGGAAATATAAACGTGGCTAAAGTTCCAGTCTTAAGGCACATTTTTTCCTCTTTTACGTCAAAAATTGATTTTTTTAAGTATTTTCGGAAATTATAGGCCAAAAATTCAATTCTTTGTAGACAACCAGCCAAAAAGTTGAGCCCAATCATGCTATCATATATGCGGATCACCCGCTTCTCTAGTTCTAGAACCGTCGTAACCCAATGACATACGTGTACATGAATTTGGATGATTACCTACAAAAAAAAAATATTAATGAATCATTATAAATCAATATTTGTTTGGAATGCTTTATATATTAATTATTTATTACCTCGTCAACTAACCACCAAGGCGGATAGTATTTTTGTGCCATCATCAAATTAAGATATTGTAGTCCAGGTCGTGACATAAACTGTAATGCCTGAGACCATAATATCGTACGTCGTAACCCGTCATTTGCAAATGTGCTCACGTATCAATATGTTGTTAAAAGAACACTTGACTCAGAAAAATAAAATAATAACTAGTAAATAAACATTATCGGTCAAAGACCTTCCAGCCTAGTGATAAAGACTTGGGCATGACATAGTCATGAACCCGAGTTCGAGCCCTGGGAGGGGAGTGTTGGCGACATTTAAGTGGGGCCATGTTTAGCCTCCAAATTTGCCGGGGATTAGTCGGGCTTTGGCCCGGACACCCTTACAAAAAAAAATAAACATTATCGTAAATATAAAAAATAAATATTGCTTACAATTGTATCAAACCAACTTTACTCCAACAAGGTCCTCCAATAGTGCATACTCCATGGTTCACATTCGAAAGGAGGTATTCTGAGTCATTGTAGCTTATTATTCGTATATAATTCCAAGATGTTAAATTTGGTCCTCCGTTTCAGTGCCTTGTATGTAGGTGTTGAATCCGGTAACGACATATATGGAGATCTCACCATCGGATTCAGGTGTCTGATGCGTTTCTCATGCAAATGTGGGGTCTACTCCGGTATCATAGACGATGCAGTGTCATCATTTTGTTTGAAATTAAAATTCGGTTGATAACAATCATCATAGAGGTTATATTCGGTTGATAGAAATTATTTTCATGTTGAAAGCCTTGATTGTTTTCAGACTGTTGAAATTGTTGAGACTGTTCCGGTTGTTGAAAATGTTGAGACTGTCCAGACACCTGAAACTATTGATTATTTAAACCATGTTGAATAACATATAAGTAAAAATTAAAAATATATACCTTCATGGCATCATTTGAGCGCTGAATTTGCTCTAGTAGGTTTTTATGTGCATTTGAGCAACCATTGGATCGACGGCTCCGTTGTGAACAAGTTCAATAGTTTGTTGAATATTACGATTCAGTTGTTTAATATATTCCGTCAAATCATCAAATGATTGCGACGCTGACGAACTCGATGCACCGGCCTATTTCTTTACAATCCTCTGAAAATAACGAGAATTTGACCTCCACCACGGATACTGTAGCTCTACATCAGTAGATGTTAATGTAGTACGTGTAGCAAACCCTCCTAAGTAAAATATTCATTAAAGTATTTAGTTACAGTTAATAAAGTAAATTATTCGAGATAAGTTGGTCAAACTCACATCCTCGATATCATCGACATGTATGTATCTAAGACTATCATGCCACAATAATTGTTTCGTGTGTTGCCAGACACATGACCTAGGGATGACTCTATCGGTCCGTAAACCATAAGAAAACGAAGCATGTAGAAATGCTTCCAATATCCATGTCTACATTTTTGTTATATTATAGTTACTAAACAATTTAAATTCAAATACAATATTGTTATTTTATGGTTAGTAAACAATTAATTAAAAGTTACCTTGGATGCAAACACGAATCCAGATAATGAGTATCTGCATTTGCGTTCAGACAAAAACGTGAGTTTTTTTTTCACGTTTTGGTAACGCATCATTAAGTTAAGAGTATAGGGATTCTCATAAATTATTACCCCATGGATAACTGTGTCATAAGAGTATTATAGATCAGTACTACAATGAACGTAATAAAACTATAGAACAGACAAAAATATATCATATTAAAAAAAATACCTGTTCTATGCATCCAAATTTTCGACTAACCGTAAATAGTCATCAGAAACTATATGGTTTGTTTGTTGACCGATAAATCCAATGGAAACTAGAAGCAAAGAGATAGGCGCATCAATGTCTGTTATTGTTTTGAATTTTTGTTGTTCAAAAACCCGGGTAAGATCACTCCTGCGTACCAGACGATTTTCATCAAGGTCTAAAACGAGTTCTAAAGGACGACTCTAATATCTCTGGTAACAAAGGCTTGTTCGACAATAACAAGACAAAATTCTTCTCGCCTGAAACGTAAAAGACGTCATCCGACATTAAAATACAATGCTTCTACGGTCTTGCTCTAGTGGTGGCACCTGCATTTGTAACATCAAATGCACGAGTATCGGATCTTGATATGTTGACCGAATATTGAGCCAATGACCGAAACAAGTATTTCTAAATATTTCTAGTCTGTTTCCCGACCTCCGCAATGCCCTCAAAATTGTATTTGAAATTTCAATACTTGATTTTATATTAACAAATGCTTCTTAATAATCCCCCTGATAGATAAAAGATAAAGAGGTTACAAAAATAATATATAAAAAATTGTTGTAAAAATGAGATTATATTAAAATTAATATAAGTAAACTTACCATAATGTAGACGATTAAATATTGATAATTGAGATTGAATTAAGGTAATGAAAATTAAAGTGTTATAGTTTTGTGTTAATAATAGAAAATTTGAATTGTTTATAGAGTGAAGTTGAACATGACAAAAAAAAAAATTTGATTAACATTGTATTGAGAAGAGCAAAAAGCTGGAAAAAATATATTCGAACCAAGTGGGTCCCTTACACAAAACGCACCGGTTGATGCTTAAGGGTGGTCAAAGTAATGGGTCAAATTAGGCAAGTCAGGTCACATCAAGGTTGGGTCAAATCAGAATTTTTTTTTTTTTGTATTATAGTCCCTGTAGGTACCAAACGATGCTAATCGAGTAATCCATGATTAAAAGTTAAAAGTTGTAAAACTTAGAGTAAAAAGTGTAATCGATTATTTTTGTTGGGTTATTTTCGTCAGGATTTTTAGCAACAAGACCACCAACGACTATAATCCTTAAAGTCAATCATCCAAATGATATCTCAAAGTTCAACATGAGTTTGCCAGACAATTAGTATGAAGATGTTTTTTCGGTAAAATTTAAAATTTTAAAAAATTGGAAAATAAGAAAATAGAATCTTTGGTTTATTTATCCCTCAATAATTAAATGATTTATTGCAAAGTTTCATTAGAGCATTTTAATAAAGGTTTTTATAACATTTTTTTTTATTTTTTCTATTATTAATTCATCTTCAACAAATCAAATTAAGAAATATCATAAAAATCTGAGAGCAATAATTCTTATAAGAACCTCCTTTTTATAAATCGCATTGATTCATTCATCATAAATTAATATGTATTAATAATTATAAAATCAAAAAAATAAAATGAAAAGACATAAAAAAATGTCATTTCTCACAAACTTCATGATAAAACCCAAGGTTCTTGTACAAACACCTAGAGGAGATAAGATTCTTATAAGAACTCTCCATAATGATCGTTCTTACAAACTACTACACTACATTTACATGCATTTTACCCAATAAAAATCGGCTTTCTTCAAATTCCACAACTCTTTTCCATTCCATCAATTACTTAAAATACATTATATTATATTTTATTTAATATAAATTTATTTAATTCATGTACAAACGGGATTGTTGGAATATATATAAAAACGACAGAACTTTTGGAACAACAGATTTTTATCTCTCCAAGACACAAGCTTAATTAAATTAGGTATTTTCTAGTTAACAAACCCTAAATTGATGACTCCCCATGAAGTATGTGGCCAACTCTTCACCTTCGACTGGTTTAACAAAACCCTACTCCAAGCCACCCATCCTTCCCATGAGTTCCTTTTATCCCATGAACACCCCCATTCCAATAAAAGCTTCAAACCCATCTCGGCTTCGATCTCGCCCTCTTCGAACCGCCCTCGACTCAGATAAAACTGACTCAATAATACATGTGGTTCACCCACATACGGGTTCTTCTCGATACACTTAACCAACATCTCTTCCGCCTTTTGCTTTCTGGCTTTATCATTTCCGTCATCGCAAACCACCTCCCAATACAAGTCTCTTGCTGTTATTTGATCACTTGCATCAAGAACTCCGGTGCAGTTGTTGAAAACTGGTGGGATCACGAGCTCAATATCTTCGTCTCTATCGATCCCACTGTCTCTGGAGGCTCTGTTACACATGTACCAAAACCTCTAAATCGATTAGATGAGTAATGATGATTGAACAATATATGAAGGTTGATACTATATATTATGTTAACAAACTAATATATCGCCTCTCTCTCTATATATATATAGAGAGAGAGAGAGAGACGAGTTACGTTGAAACCCGCTCAATTCTTAAAAACCATGCAAACCAATTTCGACCAATAGAAAAATTTTGTTTTTTTAATTAATTTTAATCAATAAGGGCTTAATTGTCATTTAATTGTTTTTTGAT